AGACAACAAGGCATCCGTTGCACTTTTTATATTGATGATTCATTGATCATGAATTAGGTGTTATCGCAGAGTGTTGCCCAGACTCAACTTATGGTTACTGTGGTAGAAATAATACTTTATGTTTAAGCAAGTAATTCATGGCATCCTTTAATGACCTAGGTTTTCATGACATGCTGTTCATCTGCAGACAGAATGATTAAAGTCAGAACAAGGTCTGCTAACAACAGTCATTCTTAGATATCACTTTTGTTTATTTTTGTGTTTTCCATTGACCTTGTATCAAATCTTGCTAAGACGACAGCATGCTGTTTGTTATTATATATATATATGAGGCCTCTCGAGACAACAGAGTTAGACAGTAAGCAGTGTGGAGAGACTGACAGAGAGAAGCAGAGACACAGAGACAGGCAAGGTTCTCTGTGTTTCCTGTTGTTGCAATAAAACTCAGCTGATCATCCCATGGAGTACCTTCATTCTTCACCATGTATTTCTGCCTCTGTTGTTAGATAAATATTTACCATAACAGTTACAAAGTTGGAAAAACTAGGATTTTATATCAATTTTGAGAAGTCTGTTCATGTTCCCACAAATATGATAATGTTTTTTGGTTTTGTTATTGTCTCTGTAACATTCAGAGTGTATCTGGCTGACAGATGGATAGATGCCTTTTTGGCGGAGGCTCACGTCATACTTACAGCAGACAAGATTACAATTAGGCTGGTTTCCAGATTTATTGGTATGATTATCCACACATTCAATAGCAACTGGTGGGTGAATAACATAAAGGTTCAGTGTGTTTCTTTGTCTTAAGGCTTTTTTCAGTCAATCATGTGTTATTCATGTATGCATTCAATCTGACAGTACAGCTGCAGTGGCTTACATTAAAGACATGGGGAGCATGGTCTCAGAAGAGTTGGATAACCTGGCTGCACAAATCTGGAATTGGTGCATGGACAGAAACATTTTTATTACAGCACAGCATGTGCCTGGGAAACATAACTCAGTGGCAGACACACTATCTAGAGTGTTTTCAGAGGGTTCAGATTGGAAACTAAAACCTAAGATATTTTCTAGAATTTGTTGTCAGTTTTTTCTCCCAGACATAGACTTGTTTGCTAATAGGCACAATTCTCAACTTGATAAATTTGTGTCTTGGAGGTTTGAACCTGGGGCCTGTGCATGTGATGCTTTCTCCATTTCCTGGACAAATCATCAGCCATACATCTTTCCACCTTTCTGTATGTTAAGTAGGGTGTTGATGAAAATCCGGAGGGAAAGAGTTCTAAGAGCTATTATTATTGCTCCGTTATGGAGAACAGCATCTTGGTTCCCTCTGTTGATTGATGCTCTTATCGATCTTCCTGTTAGACTTCCACGCCACAACGATCTTCTGGTGGCTTCACACGACCCGACCCAGTTCCACCCACTTCGGAGACGGCTGATAATCATCACCTGCAAAGTATCAGGAGTGCCCTCAAACATCAGGGACTTCAGGACTCAGTCATTGATGTCATCTGTTCCAGCTGGCGACCGGGAACTCAAAACAGTATTTGTATGCATGGCACAAATTCCTTGTTTGGACAATTGGACGATCAAGCTGTGCCACTGAAGTGACTGAAACCACAGTGATTGCATACTTGGACTTTCTTAAAGAGAGTGGGAGCTCATAAACAGTAATTATCACTCATAAATCATGCATACTTCAGACTTTACAGGTCTTAGGTGCTACTTGGGTCTCAAATTAGGTGGTTGCCCAGGTACATGAAAGGACTACATCACTTACGGCCACCGAGGCCTCGTTACACTCGGACATGGGATGTCAGTAGTGCTTTGACTTGTTTCCTCATTGAAGTTTAGGTTTGTAAGATTTGACATTAAAGTTTACAGCATTGCTGGCATTGGTCACAGCAGCAAGAGCTCAGACACTGGTGGAGTTAGATTTAAGTTATCTGCAAATAGCAGGTGATCACTCTGAAGTGAATTTTTTTAATTTATGAACTCACTAAAACAAGTAAGTTGGGCAAATCGATTCAGGAGATTCTTCTGGAAAGATACTCTAAACTAGAAATTTGTGTATTGGACACATTGTTTTAATAAATTTGTCACACTCTGGAACTAAGGACGTCAAGTAGATTGTTGATTTCATACAAGATTTTTTCTGCGGTGTCTACATGCACTATAGCCAGATGGCTACGGACAGTGCTCATTAATGCAGGAATTGACCCCACTCTTACAGAGGAGCTTCTGCTTCAGCAGCATTTAACAGCGGCGTTTCTCTGAAACAGATTTTGCGGACCGCAGATTGGTCTTCAGTTAATACATTTAAAAGGTTTTTCTACCGAGAGTCCGGGGAAGGGACTAAGGCTACGTTCACACTGCAGGTCTTAATGCTC